GTGGCTTTTCACGTTTTTCCTTTTTTTTTCGATAGTCGGCTTTGTCGTTTCCGCGCGGCTAGTCCAATCCTTCTTTCTCACGCAGATTGTTCACACGTGAAGATACTAGTGACAGTTTGTTGGGCTGTTGCCATTCCTTACTTGCTATTGCTGTAATATTTTCACAGGGTTGTGACTCATTCAACGTCTTTCCATGGTACTGTATTTCTTGTATTATTGGATTTCATGTTACACGTGTTTTTGTCTATGTTGCAGTGTTGCTTGAATGCGTGGATTCTTGGTGGTTTCCAAAAAATTAATGTGCAGCGAGATTTTTCAGAGGTGAACTCAAATTGGCAGATTTTGGTTTGGCAAGGTTTTACGATGAGGAGCAAGATCGGCCTTATACGAACCGTGTGATAACGTTGTGGTACCGGCCGCCTGAACTGTTATTGGGTGAAGAACGGTATACAACGGCTGTTGATGTATGGAGTGTTGGGTTCGTTTGTTTTTTCGTTTTAAACTTACTGCGTTGATCCGTTCATCATTCCGAAAAAGTAGATCAGATTTTGCGTCTCATCTGGCTAAATGTGACATTTTGTAAGCATTTTTTCTTCGTCAGATCATTCCTCCACTTTCACATTCACATCGTGATGTATCTTAGCAATTTTAATGCTTCTCTGGATTGCGGTAGGATTTGTATAACTCTGGTCGGATTTTACTGTTTCATACTTGCAGCCTTTGTAGATTAGACTAGTAAATCTACAGTAAGCTGTTCGTGAATAAGATGAGGTGAATGGAGAGTGAGAAGTAGAACTAAGAACCGGAATCATTTTTATGCAGGCAAAAGATACGAAAAATTGATTCGAATGGCATTTTAAAAAAAAAAGAAAAGGCGATGTAAGTTCTGGAAGGGTTGAAAGCTTTCGTTATTTTTGTAAGTACCAGGACTGTCCAGATGAGGAAATTCGTCCTCAGAAGCGTGAATGTCATAAGAAAAATGGCGATTACTAAAACTCGACCCACTAGGCACCGCGCATGATTTGCAAAAAATTTTTTCTGATAATGACGGGTATCCTTACCCACGGTGTTGCAGAGGACTTTAGATGCCGAAGGCGGGATGGGTTGGGGCTGGGAGGAGGTGATAATGGGGATTTCGCACGCGAGGATTGGAGACGACGGGAAAAGGCTTGGCCTTTGACGGAAGGGGTGGAGGGGAACTAAATGGCTATGTGGTATAGGTTCTTTGACGGTTGGCTAAGTCACGTACATCTGGAAGAGAGGGGGAGGGGAGTGAAAAAGAGGAGCAGGTATCTTTCTGGTTTTTGCCGCAGATGCCCGGATTAGGAGAAGGGTATTATTCCTAGAGTATTCTTAAACATAACCTTATACAAACCAAAGAAATAACCAAACCCACAATCCTAGAAAAAACACCAGAACACAAAAAATAAAAAGCATCTGAGCAAGAAGAAAAGCATCCAGTGCGCAAAGCAACGTTTGAGCTCCTGTCCATTCCGGAGGAGCTCTGATGTGGCTTTGCACGCTGGATTTAAGAACGGCGTAAAAAAGAGGGGACGAGGGTACAAGTCGAGAGCTCTAGACAAGAACTGAACAGGACAGTAAAGAGAAAGGAACAACACAATAACAGGAAAGTAAAATAAAGCGGACCTGAGCTTGCAGATGGAAGCAAAAAGAGCAAAAGCTAAAAAACTGTTTCTGTGTGAGTGGAAATTGTTCTATAAAACCTGTCGTGAGTAGGGAGCTTCTCTATGGAGTTATGCTTAGGTAAAGCTGAGGGCGAATAAGTTCCTTGTAAGTTATAAGCTAAGCAATAGGAGGAGTGGATTGGATGCACGGAGATGGAGTCAGCCTTTGCTTTTGCAAGATTTTGGAGGCGAAAAACGAAGGTGTAAGTGCTGTACTCATTTGCAGACTGCCAAAAACAGAACACTGGAACTGTATATAATTTTTGCATAAATCTAAACAAACCTGTTCGTCCTCAGCCTCACCTAAGCATCAGCTTCATTAAAAGGGAAGCCCTTTGCTGACGAGAGTTTCTGTACGACAATTTCCATTTCATGAGCTTAGTTTTCTCTTTCCTCCTTGCTTTATTCATAGGCTTCGATTCTTTGTTTTTGCTTTTTTTTTTCGTTTTTATTCACAAGCTTAGGTTTGCTTTAGTTTACTTTTCGTTATTGTGCTGTGTTTTTTCTTTTCTCTTCCATGCTATCTCCAGCTCTTGCCTCGAACTCCTTGCTTGCATTCTTGTTCCCCTCCTCTACTCTGTTCCGAAATCGTGCCTGTAGAACGATGTCTGAGGTCCTCTCCATCCCCACTATAAGAACACTGTGGAAGAAAACAGTACTTCACCCCATTCCCAAGCGCAGGTGTCCGCGGCAAAAAGCCAGAAGCAATCTCTCTTATTCGCACCCATCACTTGTTCCAGCTCCCTCCCATGCTTCGAACGAAACCTGCAACATAATACCTCCCTTCCCCTCCCCTCCCTTTCGACGCCTCAGCAACCACATTCGAAATCTCGTCACTAGCGTGGTATACCAGATTCGTTATCACTAGGAAAAATTTTTCGCAAGTCGAGTGCGGCGCCGGGTGACCGAATTTTAATAATTACCGAGTTTTAGAAATTGCTGGGGCAATCCCCTGCCGATGATGGGTTTTTGTTCGGTGTACGATGGCTGTCCCTCTTAGGGTGCCAGACCCTTTAGTCTTGAACAGCGTATTTCAGTTAGCGGTTGTTGCCAGTTTACTGTTTACTATAACTTCACATCTTCCAGTGTCGCTTGGCCTGTTTAGTTCCTCGCTAGGCACCATTTATTGGTACGCGATACACAGTGGTTTCAGCAACGAACAGTATATTTTGTATGATGGGTTTTGAGTTCGTACATAAAGTCACAGTACTAATCCTGCATGTTATTTGAGTATGTGACAGAAATTCTGTTTGCTGATGTGGCCACGAGGGAACACTTTTTGCATTCGTTACAAGACAGGCACAGTATAATTGGGGCACCGAAACACACCTTTAGTTTTCTTCGTTTCATTTTCTTCTTCAGCAATAAAAATAACAGTAACAATAATAATAACAATAATAATAATAATATAATAGTAATAATAATAATGATAATGATTAGCAATAATAATAATAACAATAATAATAATAACAATAATAATAATAACAGTGACGACGATAATAATAACTGTAATGATAATAATAATAATAATGACGATAATAATAATAACAGTAATAATGCCACATCGTTCATTGTGTAATTTGCGTTTTTATGCGTTTTGTGCTGTGTAGCATATCATCACGGGGTTGTCTGTGTGTGTGTGTGTGTGTGTGTGTGTGTGTGTCCGCAGCAACTTGTCCGCATCTTTCAACTCGGGAACCACAAAAGCTA